GGACTATAGGCAGCCACCACAACATCCAGGTATTTTAGGGTCTTCTGTAGCTGAGGCTGGTCTCGAACTCCTGAGCTCAAGCAATTGGCCTGCTTCAGCTTCCCAGAGTGCTAGGATTACAGGTGTGAGCCACACCCCACCCAGCCTGATAACTTACTGTTTCAAAAGATTGGCAAATAAAAGTTATTTCCAAGTTTATACTTACCATTTCCAATTTTATTCTATCACTTCACTCAAAGATCTTTTTCTCAAATTCAGTTTTCTATCTACTATATAAATGCATCATGTTTTAAAGGAGAGCTGACTCTCAGGAGAGCCAGAACACTTAATTTTTTTTTTTAATTTATTTTTTGCAGTTTTTGGCTGGGGCTGGGTTTGAACCTGCCACCTGCGGCATATGAGGCCGGTGCTCTACTCCTTTGAGGCACAGCAGCCACCCCACTTAATTTTATTTTTTAGCAAGTCACTACCATTTACGAACACTGATGCTGGGATAATGTGTAACCTTTTCACAGGGAATACGGAGGATACGATCGGAACCTGCATACTGACTGCCGAACGGTTTTACAGCATTCCTTGGAATAGACCATAAAGCTCTATGTGAAAGGCAAGGTGTCCAAGCTTTGAGGTGTTAAATAATGTGCCCACATTCACACTGATTTAAATCTAGATGTCTGACTTCAAAATTCATGATCCATTTGTCCTATTTCAGAGCTTTCTTCCCTGGTAAAATAATAATGATAAGAAAACTAGAAAGTCTGGATTTTGAGAGAAATAAATGAGATAATGTCAGTGAAAGCACAGTTCGAATCACATTGCAAAGCATAAATCGGTTAAAAGCGTTGCTCTCAAAACACAGGCATCACTTCCCATTTCTAAGTCACATGAATAATATAAATTCAAAACCTGCAAGTGCTCTGCTATACCGAGGCGAGTAGGGAATATTGCCTTGAAGTTATTATTCAGCCTCATATTGTAAAAACCAATAAATACTAAATGTGCTTGTTTCCTTTCTCTTTCCTCACTCAGTACTTTTGTTACAGGACTCATAGTGAAAGGACTGATTTCACGTTAGTTACAGATAAAGGAGCAAAAAGATACACCCTGATTTAAGAAAAACATCAGACAAAAATACAGCCCTTCGTCTTATACGGGGAGGTGGTAAAACAACAATATGTAAATAAACATAGTGTTCATTTATATGCACCCCTAAAACTTATACTAGACGCTGATGGCTATTCTGATGACTGATACGCTGTATACATGTTCATTTAACTTTTCTAACAAGTCACAGAGCAGTTTACTAGCACTTCCTTCTAAGAACAATAGAGAAGTTATTAATGTCGCCTCATATTCTTCTCTTTTTTATAAATGAACATATGAACCTCAGGGAAGATTTCCTTCCTCAGACTGCAGGTAACATAAAAGCCTCAAACTGCCTTAATTAAAAGAGCATAATGGCTCACACATATAGAAACCCAAACATTGCAGCGGGCCCCGGGGGTGGCGTTTGCAGTGATTCGGCACTGTCATCTAGGAGAAAGGCACTGATACTTCTGCGGTTTCTGAGGTCAGCTTAATCCCAGGCTTATCTCCTTTGTGATACAGTGATCAGGGCTGCGTTCTTCCCTATTTATATCCAGGATGGACATATGTGAATGAACTGGAATCATCAAAAGTGCTCTTTTTCTCACCTTCTTGAGGCAAAACAAACATAAGAAAGAGATTATATGCCCCAACCAGGGCAATGCCATGTGCTGACTGGCTAAGGCCTGGGATCCTGAAATGATCTACTTCATAGGCCTAAACTAGCCCGGGCCCATCCCTGGAGGGCCACCCTTCCCTAACTGGCACTGCAGCTGCACAGTGGAGGGTGCTCGGCGATGGGCTGGCCACCGATCCGTCTATTTCTCACAAATGCCTTTTAAAAATCTTCTAAATCTCTTGGTATCAATAGAGAATCAGTTTCAGGATTCCTCGTACATACTAAAATCCATAGATATTTAAGGCCCTCTAAGTACAAAGGTATGGTATTTACATATGTGCATACATTTTATGCACATACTCCTCTATCAGTGGTTCTCAACCTTCCCAAACTCCACGAACCTTTAATACAGTCCAAAGGGGTCGTGACCCACAGGTTGAGAACCACTGTCCTATATACTTTTAATTATCTCTAGATAACTTATCATACCTTACACCTAGCATTTATACACTGTGTAAATACTATGTAAATAGCTAGCATACTGAATATTTTTTAATTTATATTGTTATCGCTGTATTCATTTTAAAATATTTTTATTTTTAAATATTTTTTAGTTGGAATTACAGTCACACACCACCATGCCCATCTAATTTTTTCAATTCTTTTTTAGAGACAAGATCTTACTATGTCACCCAAGCTTATCTCAAATTCTTAGGTTCAAGTGATCCTCCCGCCTGAGCCTCTTGGGAAGCTGGATTTTTAATGTTTCCAAGCACAGTTGGTTGAATTTGTGGACACAGAACCTGTGGATACGAACCTCTGACTACAAATAACTCCAGACATGGGCACTATAAGTGTGACAAGAAGGGCTGGGTGGGGATCGGGAGAAAGGGATTACTCTGACTTGGCTGTTGTGAGTCTTTGTGGGGAAAGAATCCTCGTGACCCTAACCAGAGTACAGCCATTTTGGGAGGACATTTAGTTAGAGGAAGCAGACCAGAAACCAAACTACCTGATCACAGCAGACCCCCCCGCCCCCCAACACACACACACTCCTGGAACGTTTCAAGGCCAGCGTTCCTGGGAAATAACAGAACAGTAACTTTCCAACTTTCCACCCTGCTCCAGCTGGCGGCCAATCAAAGCAATGACTCCAAGATTAGCCCCTGGTGTAAAGATCAGTCCCTCTGCAGAAGAAAATGACTCCCCTACCAGCCCCTTCCACATTCCAGCCACACTGATAAGGTTAATAAAAGCCTTCTGGAGCTGTGTGACAGGGAAGGGACTTCTGGGACAGACTCTTTTCTGCTCTTTTCTCCTAATAAAATTTCTCCTTAATCCCTGAGCTGGCCTCCTCTCTCTCTTGCGAACCATCAACCCAACTCTACACTCAAACCCCTCAGTCTTCATTTTGCCACACTTATAGGCATATTTCAGATTATTACTCGCTCAGGACTACCTAGGGAAAAGACCATTGTCTATATTTAGGCTGGGAAGAAGTACCCTCATAAGATGCAGAGAGGTGAACTAGGCTTTAGAAATACCAGAGGTTTGGGCTTTAGTAATGCCAGAGGTGATCACAAGAACCTAACAACTCAGAAATACAGAGAGATTCAGGAGGAGATTAGACTGTCTACACCCTGCACCATCATGGTTAAGATTGACTTTTATGAAGATCTAATGGATAGGACAATGAGGCCTGATTATACCACTTTCCTGCCAAACCTTCCATTCTCTGATTGTCAGAACACACTGTGGCATTTAATTATTCAAATGTTCTTTAAAATAGGAAATAGATTTATGGATATGTATATTATAAAACTATGTATATAGTTGAATATATACATATTTTCAATTTGCAGATTTAGCAAGATGTGAAATAAAGTCATCAGCACAACAGAAATTGTTTCTCCTGCGTCCTGCCTGCTTACACGATGTAAAGAGGCGGCATGTGGGTAGTTATGGAAGAGCCTGTCTGAGTTGCTGATTTCTCTCTCATGTGCTTGAACAAGGCGGGGCATCAATCTGTCATTATTAAAAAAGGCTTTGGGGCCAACAGAGTCACATAAACAGAAGAAAAGGTAAATATTCTGAGACAAACTTTGTTGGTATTCAAGAGCTCCCATAGCTAGGGAGATGAAAATTATATATCAAGTTTTAATTTCACAAGATTCGTGTAGGAAGAGGAAAATAAAACTGGGGAAGCAGGCAAGAGAGTGAACATGGGGAAGACCTTCCCTACGTCACTTCAGCTTCTCCAGTGTGTCCAGGTCTGTTTGTGCTAACAGTCCCTTTGGAACCAGAGATTCCCTTGATTCCATCATCTTCCTCTTCATACTGTGATAACTTTTCCACTTATTATCTATGATTTTAAACATAGGAGGTGATGAAAACTTAAGTTAATGGAACTAACTTAAGTGGAATGGAATTGTTTTTTAAATACCCATAACATTATATTCTGTTATTATCTCTTTTCTTCATTGTTCATCTCACAAAAATCAAATGACATGTCCCAAACGGCTGTGTCAAACTACTTATCTCCAAATAGAAATGAACCTCACATCATATGCTAAAGTCAGATTACAAGCTTTAAATAGGCCTTACCAATAACACCTTTTTACATATACCTCTAGGACTTAATATTAAATATTATGTACACAAAATAACTGAGTATTTTTGCATAAGTAAATTTATATTTATATAGACGAGTTTTTAAGACACACAAACATATATGTGACCAATTTCTCAAAATTAGAAGAACTGTGGCTTCATGGATTTGATGGGCTATATGGTGACACTCTAGAGATTTTAAGTAGCTAACAGAAAATGTGGAAAACTTCCTACTTTATGTACAAAAAAATCCTCACAAGTTGGGCAAACTTATCTTGACATAGTCTGCAAAGAATTGCAAGCATATATAACTCAAACACAAATAGGGTATCTTACAAAATAGTCAATAATAATATCATTGATATGTTTTGGCTTGGGTTAACAATAATAATACAATTTTATTGAACCCATGTATCGCTGAGAAAACAAGAAAACAACTGATGATAGCCATAATGCAACACTTAAAAATTATCGCCAACACCGAGTTTCTGCCTGTCTTTAAGCTAGCTCATTAGTAACTCAAGTATCGGCAAATGATTAAATACATTGGTAGAAAACATATATCCCTGACGTTTTAAAAATATTCCTTTAAAACCAGTGTACAAACAATTTCCTATATGTAAACAAGTACGTGTTCCAAGTCTCCAAAAGTCACAGAAGTGTAATAGTGCTTACATACACTTACCTACAGTATCACATGGTTCATCTTTGTGTACACAGAAATCTTTCCTTGAAAGAAAAATAGAAAATCAAAGTAAAGATAAATTCTTTTGTATAAATAATAGCTATCAGGTGACTCATTTGTAAATAGTTTATGATTAATTGAATCCCATTTTTATGTCCAAAAATCGAATAAAACTAAGAATAAAATTAATTTTTAATTCTAAGAAAATGGAATATATTTAATCTATATTCTGGTATGGGTATACATGATATAATCCGTAGGCATTATTGTCTCATTTCCTGGACAATAGTTCAAAAATAAAATCCCATCTTGTTCTGAAATTTATAGCATTTCATTGTTTCAGTCTGAAAAATAGTAGCTGGTGATAAGACAAAAGTTTCCATTTGAAAAAAATATTGGAAGACCTCTAATTTATGGAACACAGAAATAATTTCCAGGTTGAAGATTTAAATGTAGGAAATACTATTTAAAATAACTCAACACTTTATATTATAATATGGACAAAACCTTTAAAAGACTGTTAATCATTTTAATAAGTATAGGTAGAAATTATTATTACATAAATGGGATCTAATGAAAGATAATAGTCTATAATTTTTGCTGTGTATCTGACCACCAAATCTTAGCAAGTATTCCCTATAAAATACTTTATTCTTGTTAGCAATTACTTTGGATTTCGTAGAATACAATTCAAGAGAACTTAATAACTAAGAGTTATGTGATTTGGGGGTAGACTATAAGAGTGCAAAACTTTTTATCTATTTCCTACCAGCTACATACATATGATCTTGGGCAACTTAATTCTTGTGCCTCCATCACCTCATCTTAAAAATGGAGGTAATAATAACATCTGCCCCAGAGGGGAAATGACTTAACACATATCAAACATTTAAAACATAGTTTATTATGCAGGTTCATTGAGTTGACACATAAAGGCATTTCAAAAACAATACCAAGCACAAAGTAAGCTCCCCAAAGTTAGCTGTGATGTTTTTGTTGGTTCTTTGTTGTTGTTGCTATAATTATCATCATGTCATAATATAAGCCATTCTCCACTGACAGGCCTCACCAGCAGCATTTGCAATTTAGTGCCTATACATCAGTTTAGAAATGTTCCCTGAAAACGCTCTTATTTTCTTGGGTCAGAATGCTATACATGCTCAGTAGATTTAGCTCTTACATTTTTTGATATAGATAATTCTTCAGTAGAAGGTGCAATTTTGGATTGATTTTTACACGTTACTGGGGAAGGACTGTTAAAATTCCATAGTGGTTATAAATTTTGCATGTTTCCCTATGATTCCACGTTTTGCTTTGTTTCTTTCAAAGCTAACTTAGTATGTACTTAACTCTGTAAGTTTTTAGAAATTATTTTGAATTATTGCTTTTATGATTGTGTTAAAACCATATTTATCCTTTATGTATTATTATTATTATTATTATTTTTTGACACAGAGTCTCCCTATGTCACCATGGGTTGAGTGCTCTGGCATCATAGTTCACAGTAACTTCAAACTCTTGGGCTTAAGCGAGTTTCTTGCCTCAGCCTCCCAAGTAGCTGGGACTACAGCTGCCTGCCACAATGCCTGGCTATTTTTTTGTTGTTGCAGTTGTCATTGTTGTTTTAGCTGGCTGGGGCCAAGTTTGAACCTGCCAGCCTCGTTGTATGTGCCCTACCCACTGAGCTATGGGTGCCAACTATGTATTCATTTTTTAAAGTTGACTGTGTCTGATTTTAACAAACCCTAATATATTGGCAATATATTCATATTTTCTTGGCACCTCTTTTTCCTTTGTTTTACTTTTAGCTTTCATTTTCTCTGAGTCTCTTCTAGGTCGCATATGGATTAAATTTTAAAGGCTAGTTATATAATACCTTTGTAAATAAATTTGATTCTTTCTTAATTTTATTATTGGTATAGTTGGATTTTTCTATAATCTTATTTGTTATTTCTATTCACCAAATTATATTTCTTTGTTCTTTTCCTCTTTTTTCTTTCTTCCTATCTACTTTTATTTTCTCCCTTTTTTCTCCTCCTGCTTTGAAAGTAACATTAAATTGTGTTTGATATATTATTACCTTTTTATTTTTAGATGCATTCGTTCCCTATTGCTAATGCAAAAACTCCATAAATCTACTGTCTAAAGTAATGCACATTTTTTAACATACAGTCTGAAGACCACAAGTCTGAAGTGTGTTTTACCAGGTTAAAATCAATGTGTTCGAGGCATAGTGTCCCCCCAGAAGCTCTAGCTCTACATGAGAAACTGTCGTGCCTTTTCCCTCTTCTAGAGGCTGCCCGTTTCTTGACTCAGGGTCCCTTTCTATTTTCAAGGCCAACAATTACATCACTCTGACACTTGCTTCCATCATCTTCTCTGATTCTCATGCCTGCCTCTTTCTCTCACGTTTGGATAATCTCCCCAGCTCAAGATCATTACCTTAATCACTTCTACACGTTCCTTTCTCCCATATAAGACAATACATTCATAAGTTCTGGAGACTAGATTCCTTTTCTTTAAGATCATGGACATCTTATTATCCCTATGATATCCCCTTAAGATAAGTAAAGCTAAAAATTGCCTCTAGTCTCCTGAAAAAGACAAGGACATAAAATGCCTTTAATCTGATCCATTCACTCTGTTATGTCCTTTTTTTTTTTTTTTTTTT